TACACTGAATAATCAACTAGAATTTTTCGTTTGTAGTTTTAGAAGTCCTTTCTTTTGGACAGTCTTAAGATTACTGTGAGAAGAAAAAGTCAGTTCCTTGCTGGATGTTGAAAACGAAAGAGCAAAAGTAGATTTTGAGGCGATGTGAAAGTTTCAGATAAATTGTCGACAGCTTGTCCTCCAGGGCTGTGTCTGAGGAGCTATGTTCCTGAAGCTCCCCCAGAGCTGCTACACAGGGAGCAAAGTCTGGTCCGCCACTTCTGGTTGTGTAACTCATTTAGTCGGGACTATTTTAACTCTCTAAACCTAGCAGCTTGTTTCTCAAGATCACTTGATGCATAACCTTTTCCTATTTTTACTTTTTTTTTTCCCCCAAAGCTTTCGTTTGAAACAGGAAGGAGCGGTAACAGCTGTATCACTTCTGAAGGAGGAAATAATTCCGAAACTCCTTATAACAATATTGGATTATGAAATCCTTCAGAGCAGTGGTTCTGTTGAGCAATATGCAGTACAGGAGATGACAATGAAAGACATACTGAGCCAAAACTGAGCCATATTCTAGGTGACATCTGTAAGTCCCCTTGGTGCCCTGTACCTCTCCTGCCAACTGGGTATCTGAATCCAGTGTCATGCTTTCAGTTCCAAATACATAAGCGGTTGTTGCTCTGTCTACTACTGAGTGAGGAAAGCAGTTTAAATAAACATTCAAGACAAAACCCAAACCCCTTTCTCACAAAATACCCCAGTCCAGACCCTTGTAAAAGATTTTCTGATTGCACTTTCTGATTTTTTGCCTTTCATAGAGCTCTTGAAACTTATTTTATTGTAACTGTAATTATTTTTGTTCTCACCTATTGTGCATTCTCTGTATGTATTAAAAAAAGCTTTGATATGTAATTTAATAATAAATTAGAATTCTAAGCAAGCTGCTTGGTTCTTTCCCCATGACAATCTTTGCCTACCTAAACTTCAGGGAGGATGCAGAGAAGATTCCGGTTTCGGATTGTCACTGAACATATGAATTAGTTTGTGCTCCATTTTTGTACCAAACATCGGATGTGATGGAGCATTTCCTGACCCAAAGTGCTCGGTTTGGTGGGATGTGTTCCTCCTGCCTGCATGTGCATCCACATTGGAAGGCTCTGAATATAGTCATGACTTCTTTCTTGCTGTTCTTTGACAGATGGAACAAGGATGGTTTTCTTCACAGGTAAGCTTTAAAAAGTTTTCTATATATCCATAGCATAAAACATTTAATTCCCAAATGCACACCAAAACTGATGTTGATCTGAAGAGCCTTCTCAGCATAAGGTGCCTCCCCCCTTTTAAATACACTTCTCAGTAATTTGGTACCTTTTTTTTCCCCCTTCGGCAATCACAACACAAACACCAGAAATAAGCCGATACTTTGAACATGTACAAGCAATCGTAACAACTCTCTCCGTGAAGTTCCATCGTACCCTGTAGTTTTCTAGCCATGCTGCGGTCTGCACCACCTCCGTCCTCAGGTGTTCAAACCAGGCAGTGCCGTGCCTGAAGGACCCATCTGTATCTGGTGTTTTTGCAATTGGTGCTAAATCTTTCAATGCCACTCAAATTTATTTTCTCAAACAAGAAAACCTGCCTGGCAGTGGGATACCCGTCTATTTGCGTAAGGCTCGGAGTGAAGAGAGGTAGTTCTCTTCATGTCGGAGCTGTCGTGCTGTGTCTGTAGTGCTGCTTTAAAGCAGAGACAGATTTCTGTATCCTTAATGTGCCTACTAAATATTCAGGAGTGGCCATACGCTTTCTCAAGGGAAGGCTTTG